AAACACTGCGGCTGTCATCACTGACAATCAATGACATCATTGATCGGATCTTCAAATCACAACATTAAGGCCGATCCCAAAATTTACAAAATATGCATAATATCGGCTGATCCGATACACCGGGTCGCTGTCAAGTCTACTGATAACTAAATTTGTGAAACACATCACACTCATGATCTCATGACGTAAACAGTCCTTTCAATGTTGTTAGATGTATACATACATTTGATTGCTCTCATTTTGGTTCTGAATGTGCAGATGTGATTTGACTGCTGCGCTGTGCAAGAGCGAATCTATTCCTGTGGAGATACAGGGCCAGAGACCACCCCAAAATGTTGCATTTTTTTAATTTCTGGATGCAGCCCTTGTAGGAAAAAGCTTGGAGGCCCCTGTCCTCGAGGCAGGCGGCACATTTTTAGGAATAAAGGGACATGCACACTTCACTCTGTGTTGTGGGTGACAGTTGCCTCGCAGTCGACGCTGCTCTGTAACAGAGAGACATGCAGCTTTGGTCTTCGTCAGGGACGTCTCCTTGGCAACATGCAACACAGCACGGGGGCAACAATGCCAGCACAAAAAAATAGGAGTGTTCACGGCATGGCCGCTGTGAGGTGAATATTTACGGCCCCGTACTTGTGTCGCTTTATCTAATCATGTTTCATATGCTCGGAATTTCACGGGCAAAGTTGCATCCCTCCTGGGAATAGACTGTCCAGAAATAACTGCCAGATATTGTATGTGGATCTCTGAGGATTTCATGAGAACATAACTAACCAGGCGACACAGCAAAGGGAGGCGCAGGTTTGACAATTTGTGTCGCATCATGGAAAGTCCCGGCCCCTATCAAGCATCCTACGGTGGAGTCCAAATTCAACCTGCTGCATAGTTAAACCAAAGTACACACACTAAAAGGAGTGAGGGCGATGATGTTGTGGCAAATGTGAACAGTAGGTGGACTTTAACCTCGGTAAAGAAAAATAAAAAAATAATGAATACTGTATATCTGTATTTAAAAGGAAATGATTGTATCACAATGTAACCCTTTCATGCACCCTGTAACCTGATAACATGATAAGCTGTCCACTGTAGTGACTGCTGTCACTGAAAAGGTTAAAACAGTTCTCTGGTGTCTTAAGACTTGTGTGATGTTTTTGTTTTTGGGTTTTTTTTTTTTGTTTGTTTGTTTTTTTTTTTTGTCAAAACACCCCAAAGATTTAAAAAATCACTTAACAAGGATTTCCTTTTTAAGCCACAACATCGGACATGCGAGGTGGTGGTGGACCCCAAAAAGCAGGCACGAGGTAGGAGCAGGTTGTACTTGAAGTGTATTGTTAAAACAGAAAACTAAATCCAAAACAAAGTATCAAACAAAAACCATGGCAGAAGCTCAAAACTAATAGAAACAGAAACATGACTTAAACATGACAGAACAAACAAATATAACAGCAACAAAGAAACAGCAACAAACAATGACCCGACACCGAGTGGTCGTGCTGGGAGTCCTTTTAAAGCAATAATGACATAACGACCAACAGGTGTGCAGCTGCAGGGGGAGCCCTACAGTGCCACCTGTTGGTCACAAACAGAATCATGACAGGACAGCTCCTTAATATATTCAGAAAGACCAGACCTGACTGCTACGGCGGACCAAATTCATACTGTGCTCTTCATTCACTCCCCTCAAAAAGTATAGGAGTTTTTATTTGATAGATATTTACATCCATCTATTTTCTAATCCACTTGTCCGCACAAGGGTCGCGGGTGTGCTGGAGCCGGCTGTCTTCGGGCAGTAGAAGAAGAAACAGGCCATGTTTCCAAAACAGGCGGAGATGTGTGCCTCAAGAGTTTTATGGACTGGTGAGACAACAATTACACTTTAATGAATTGTTGGAAAGGTTCAGTAGTTGAGAAAGCAAGGATCTGCTTTTGGTCATTCATTCCCAGTGGGTTAATGAATATAACAGATTCACATTGTTCTCATTTTGAAATTCCAAACATTCAGCTCATTCAAGCCACATTTGGAACAATTTTCACTTTGCTAAAAGATCCCCATTGACCAAAAATTCAACATTTTCACCCATAAATATTGCACCAAGAATTCCCTATTCATTGCCAATGACACCGTCAACAAAATCATCAATCCCATTCAAAATTCAAACATTTCCCCATATTAAATTCAACTTGGTCATAATTGTCAACATCATTCAACACCATCCAGAGGCATCCATATTTTTTTCACTCCACATTTCAGCATTCACATGCCATTACTCCAGAAACTGCAAATGTCTAATTTTATATTAATCTTTTAATTTCAACCTAAACTGTCTTCAGTAAAAAGAAAAAAAACAAAACAAAACAAAGGACTCACTCTATGATAGCTTTGAAGGGACGCGGACGCACGTTACAAGTACTAGGACACCCCGTAAATACAACATCCTGACTTTATGGCTTGTTTTGAGTTGTTATGTTCTGTGCCTGTGCATGAGAAAGTGTACCGACCCAAGCCCATCGCTTCTAATGGTGATGGCGGGGCCAAGGGAGTGCCGTATATTCTGCTTGAGCACAAATGCAGGTTACACTAGTCCAGAAATCCAGACTTTTGGTGTCAGGGGTGTAGCTTGTGGTGTGACTTAACAAAGTACAAGTACTTTTTTTTTTTTTTGACTGTGCCAAGTTTTTAAAATTGGTTAGCAATCAGAATATTCAGTCAGTACATTTTTTCTTGACTCAAGGAGAAGAGTTGAATCAGTCGTTTTACTTTCACCAGTCTTTTTTTACACAAGCATCTGCACTTGACTAGAAGTAGAAGTACAGAGTGTGAATACGTTTGCCACCTCTAGAAATATCCAACCCCTAATTATGATTAAATTCATGAAGAGTTGTCACTACTGTATCTTTGACCATTTTGGTGTCCTAAAATTCTTTTTAACTTGCTTGGATGAACAATGGTTCTGGAGTTCCATCCTATAATACAGTGTGATGGCTGCGAACTTCATTGGACTTATTTGGACTGTAAAGTCTGCGGGTCAAGCTCGGAGCAAAGCTAATGTTGGACAACACTGGCGTTTCTGCTCGAGTATAAATAGTGCTCTTTCCCCAGAGCTCTGAGTGGCAGCTATTCTGTAAGTGAAACCAGACCTAGGGAGCCCGAACAAGTCAGCGAGCACCATGCCGCCCTCGTTCCACACTCGGATTTGGACTGGTCAACCTCGCTGCCACCTCATTGCCTCAATACACCAGACAACAAATTATTTGATAAACAGCACAAATTTGACAAATGTCATTGCTTTGCATGGACTGAGAAGCTCAGGTGTTCTCCAATCAGCAAATGCAATCCAAGAATTTTTGTTCTGAATAGCTTTTCTTATTGATGCTGCCATTTGTTTGCATGACACGTAATCATTGAATCGTGCAATTCATATTTTGACAACCCAGAATAAATATTGTCCGGATTTCTATTCTCGCAAACTATCTTCCTTTTATGATGTAATTGTGAACCTTTTTTTGTAGACATCAGCTGCTGCTGATGTCTACATTCTGACCAGATGAGTCAGTGATAAATCCAACACAAAACCTCTTAACCTGGCTGTAATCCGCCCACCTAGTCGAGGAGCTCAGAGTACGTTAACAATCTGTGCCCCACTAGCCCCAAACTGTCACTCAGCAGCAAGGTGTACTTTTCTCCAGTGATTTCAGCACTTTAGATTTTATCTCTTAAAAAGCATTGTCTCCAAAGGCCTTTAGTCTGTCTTAATGCGATCCTCCCACTCGTCAACAGTGTGCGTCCTGGCCTAAAGGTCTGCTCAGTAGACCAGAGAATAAATACTGAACATGTTATTATTAGGATGAGGCTTGATGATGATTCACACGCTGAAAGTGAAATAATCATCCATCCATTTTCCAATCTGCTTATCCTCATGAGGGTCGCGGGCGTGCTGGAGCCTATCCCAGCTGTCTTTGGAGAGTAGCCGGGAGACACCCTGAACTGGTTTCCAGCCAATCACAGGTCACACATAGAAGACCAACCATTCGCGCTCATAATCACACCAAGGGACAATGTAGAGTGTTCAATCAGCCTGCCATGCATGTTTTTGGAATGTGGGGGCAAAACCAGAGTACCTGGAGAAAACCCACGCAGGGGACATGCAAACTCCACACATAAAGGCCGGAGCTGGAATCGAACCCTGCACCTCTGCACTGTGAAGCGGACGCACCAACCAGTGGATCACCGTGCCGTGTGAAATAATCAGATATCAGTATGAGTGGCCAGCAGTCACACTCTCGTGAGTCGCCGTGTTAAGTAGCTAAATCAGTTGATTGCTGCAGATTAGTAACACCAGAAGGCACTACTGGCCTGCTGCTCTGCTATTGGATGCAAACCATCACTGCTAGTCATGCACCAAATATTATCAACATCTTGCTTGCTTATAGTTTCAACTTTCAGCTTTGTGTAATACTTTAAATCTTAATATGAGACTCTTCGGACAGGTTTTTTTTGCATTTTGGAGTAAAGTATTTTAACTATTAAGAGCAAAAATGCCAAATGGCTACATAAGGAGAAGGTTGTTTCGGTGCAAAGAAAATCAAGACCGATTCACTGACTGCAATCATTTCAAACACAATCTTAACCTATGATCCCCATCACGTTAACACATCATCAAAACGCAGCCGTTGGCAAGCCAGTGACGGTAGAGCCAGTGGAAAAATGTAGACACCTTTGCAAAACTTTCCTGGGTGCAGCCAACATTTGCCACTGTCACGTCGGGACTGTTTTGCATGAGTTATCACTGTAGCTTTGATGTGCAGCGTGACCGCAGTCATCGGCACCCTTCGTAGAGCGGTACTGATTTATTTTCCTGTGCAGATGTGAATTTGGATCTCGTTGCATACTAATCCCATGGAAGCACAAGAGTTTCTCTGCAGTTTTCCTCTGTCCAGTAGTCAAAGCATTTCTAATAGATACCTTCACGGCCACTGTGCACATGCTCCTCTGGTCTTACCTCTCGTAGCTAAGCGACCAACCGCTAACTGTGCTGCTGTGATGCTGCAGAGCTGCCGGTCGTGCCTTCAGCCTGACGCCTTGGATGACGTGTTTATCCTTAGTGTTGAATGCTTCTTGCCCACCCAGTGTGAGAGTTACTTCTCCGCTACGTCCTCGGCCGTCCCCTTGTACAATCCAGGTGGTCTGAATGTGGATGGCTGCTGCTGTACGGTGCGCACAGTGCAGAATGGTGTCTAAGGCTAAGTCTTTGTGAGCATGATGCTGTCTGGGCATGGGTGTGTGTGTGAGAGAGGGAGAGGGAGCGGAGGACCTGCCATGTTAAGTTGCAGCCAGTTAAATTTAAACCAGCCTGCCTTCTGACACCTTGAGCCATGTCTGCACCCCACCACCCTCCAAACACACACACACACACACGCGCACACACACACACACACACACACACACACACACACACACGCACACACACACACACACACACACACACACACACACACACACACACACACACACACACACACTTGGGTGCTTGTGTGTCACAAATGGCAATGACTCTACTATATGGATCCTGACTGAAGCCCACTGCCTCAGCAGTCCCTGAGGGGAAGGACCTCATGCTTGGGATGGATTTTGCTTTTCGAGGAGAAATATAATGTAAATGTGCCACAAAACAAAAGCAAAACCGCACTGTTCCCATTGAACACTGTGGCACATTGATTACAGGTGTGTCAAACATACAGCCCGCGTGCCAAAGTCAGCCAGTTATGTGGTTCATTCATGCCTACAGGATGAGTTTGAAAGTAAAAGAAAAGCTGTGATGATGCTACAGTTATGTGTTGTATTAACAGTTTTATAATTTAATGATAGTTCTCACATTAGCATTACTAAGTAGAAAACACTGTGAAAATGATCAAACTTTAGAGCATACAATACTTACGGTCAGCAGTCCACAGCAATGGAGTGTTATGAGATAGACGAGTCACCACCAGGATGAAGGGCTAAGTTTAGAAAACAGTAATCCATGATGTATGTATTGGACGCAGTGTCAATGAGGAAATGGCACAAAGCGGAGCTGGGGGTGCCAGAAATAAAGATGTTGGTTTACTTTGGGAATCATCAGGGATAGAATTAGAACTGAGCTCATCAGAGGGATGGATAAGGTTCGATGTTTTGGAGGAAAAAGTTAGAGAGAGACGATTTAAATGGTTTGGATCCGTGCAGAGGAGAGATAGTGAGTATATCGGTAGAAGGATGGTCAGTAGGGACCTGTCGGGAAAGAGAGCAAGAGGAAGACTGAAGAGAAGTTTGACAGATGTAGTGAGGGAAGACATTGAGGGCAAATGTATGATAACTAAAATACATAATTACATCTTGAGTTGGTGTTAGAGAGGAGGATGCAGAAGACTTTGAAGAAGACTTGGAAAAAGGATGACGTACTGTGGCAACCCCGAACAGGAAAAGGCCAAGAGCAAATGAAGAAGAAGAAAATACATTTCATTTTCAAATGCAAGTACTGTACATAATTTTTCCATTCCAAATATGTCCAGGATCCAGTTCCCCAATGATGGACTCAGCCCAAGGAAGTTTATCTTTGGCAACAGGTTCTGTGAGATACTGGTGTTGAAGGTCTCTGAAATGCCCCAAGAGCATGCAGATGTCGGACTTCCTCCTTCCCAGGTTGGTGAGGGCTGGATGTACCACTGAAATGGTGTACTGGTGAGGGTCCACAGTGATGTGCATAGAGTTTGTGATCTGCACCACGATCAGTTTCTCAAAGTACTTCATACCTTTCGGAGTGAGGGCTACTGGCCGATAGTCATTTGGAGCCACTGTTTAGATCTTGGGTATGGGGATGATGGAGTCAGTCTTTAGGGAAGTCGGGACATTGTTGGGAGCGATGTGTTGAAAATATCTGTTAGCACCTCAGTCACAGGAAAGCTGGAGCTGAAATTCCTGAACCTCAGAACTGTGAGGCAGAAGTGCTAACCAACTCACTGGGCTGCCAACTCTCCGCTAAGTCTATAATTTAGAACTCCATTTGTCTTGAAATATGTTTAGTAATCATTAACTCTATCATTCCACAAGACGTACTTGTAGGTCTTTTTAAAATTAGGCCCGGCCTACCAAGGACGTACTTGTACGTCTTAAGTCCTTTTTTTTTTTTTTTTTGCGTCATAGAGAGGAGGAGAGTCTGATGCAATCTGTGAATGGGAATAAGACGTTTTTGCATTGTAAATCATGTAAAAAATCGACCAGTAGGTGGCAGTGGTGCCTCACGTGCTTGAAATGCATGCTTTTACAAAAAGCTCTTTTTCTCCGTTTTTTGCCCAGGAATCGCCATTTTCATGAAATTTAGCCATTTTGTAATGCCGATTGCTGGAGAATGTTTTTTCTGCTGAAAGAAGAGAGTCCAAACTTTATTTTGGTAGGCTTCATGTTTATATAAGAAGAACCAAATATTCTGTGGGCCTTGCAAGATCAGTCAAAATCCAGTAAAACGCTGGGATTGAGGGAGTTGCTCCAGTGAAAATGGCTGGGATTGAATGTGTTCATAGATTTTAGATTTTAATCCATCCATCCACTCTCCAAAACATTTCTCCTCACTAGGGTTGTGGACGTGCAGAAGCCTGTCCCCACCGTCATAAAGACACGGGGGACACCCTGAACTGGTTGCCAGCCATTTGCGGTTAGATTTTTAAATGAATCAATGGACATCTCGGACCTCCCATGGAGTCAAATGTCTGAGCACATCTTCCTCTCTTTATGAGCTTCTCACTCAAGACAACATTTGGTGCAACAAAGGGAGTGGTGGTCTTTTTCGGACACCAAAGAGCTTTTAGTGGTGTGTGCGTTTGTGAGTTCAGTAACTGCATTGGAGCAACAGGCCTAGTGCATGTTTGAGATACTGCTACTAGAACATGAGCTCTAATAATTTGTTACCCAATCAGATTGTACAAAGCACCAATGCATGACCCTTTTCTCTCTTCATCTCTCCTGCGGCATCATGGGAGCAAGGAGTTTAAAAGCAGAAGTATTTACGACTCAGTGCTCGCCTTTCAAGTTCCTGGAGTGCCACAAAGCATGCGGGACCGGCAGTGTGACACCGGCAGTTTAAAGATAGTTGGATTTCCGCTCGGCTAACTCTCCACCTGCCTTGTACAGTGGATATCTGTGTTTCTTCTGCCAGAACCAAAATCCAGTGTTCAAGTAAAGTGAAAATATTTAACTTGATATACTCCCACACGAGTAGTAAATAGAAACAGGATTGCAGTAGCTGAGAATGAACAAACTTATCAAGCAAAATATCAGTGTTTTTTTAACCATAAGTTCCCTAAAACTCAGAGAGAGAGAGAGAGAGAGAGAGAGAGAGAGAGAGAGAGAGAGAGAGAGAGAGAGAGAGAGAGAGAGAGAGAGAGAGAGAGAGAGAGAGAGAGAGAGAGAGAGAGAGAGAGAGAGAGAGAGAGAGAGAGAGAGAGAGAGAGAGAGAGAGAGAGAGAGAGAGAGAGAGAGAGAGAGAGAGAGAGAGAGAGAGAGAGAGAGAGAGAGAGAGAGAGAGAGAGAGAGAGAGAGAGAGATGGAAAGAGTAAGACAATAAGAGTCACAATTCCAGTGCAGTGTGAAAGTCCAGAATAAGGTGCATGGGGTTCTGTGTGCAAGTTGTTGGGAGTACAGTACAATGATGAGAGGATGAATATGATAATAGCAGTTCCCTCCCAGGGTGGAATTAAAAAGCCGCATGGCATGAGGGAGGAGAGATTTCCTCAATCTGTCAGTGAAGCAGGGCAATGACAGCGGCCTGTGAAATGAAGCTGTTTCTCTGGCTGGATATGGTGCTGAGCAGTGAATGCATGTGCTGTGTGTCATTCTTGCCACTGAAAACATCTAACTATTCTCTTCAATAAGGCGATGGATTGGGAATGTTTTTTGAATTTTCTGAATATATCATTAATGCTCCCTTGTTCACATTCTTCTGATGTCTCTTGTGCATTTCCAGGTTGTGTCCCTCAAACACAAGATGAACCAGAGGGGATTTTATGTTACGGAGCATTGTATGCTTGTGGTCTGAAAACGCAATTCTCAGAATGGAGAATGAATTCTTGCAAATGACTATGCAGGTGCCGAATGTTGGTCCAAGTATGAAAGCAGTCAGCTCACTTAGCACTTGGCAGGGCCGTCAGATATTTGTACGAGTATAAATGTGGTCCTTTCACAGGAAGTGATATGTCTATGTGCAACAATCAACATATTTTGATTTTGTTTTTAATTTGCTTTCTTCTCAATCTAGTGGCTAAAATAATATAAAATATAAGATAAAATAATATTGATTTAGAGTTAGATTACATTTTTGCAAGAAAAGAGTACTGCGACTGGCTGGCAACCAGTTCAGGGTGTACCCCGCCTACTGCCCGAAGACAGCTGGGGTAGGCTCCAGCATTCCCCGCGACCATTGTGAGGTTAAACAGGTCAGAAAATGGATGGATGGATGAAAATAATATTTTGCAATGGGTAAAAAGTGAACGAGAGGAAACGAAAATGTACTGTCAAGAGTGCATCACATTTGCACAACTCTTTTGCCCCCCGGTGGCCAGCAGGCAGCATTGCGCCCCCAGGTGCAACCAATCGAGTTGTTAAAGGGACAGAATAAGCAGAATGGGATTTTTTTTTGTTTAGCAGCAGCAAGCCCTTGTTAGTTCGTACATCCCTCATGGCTGAAAATTACTTGAAGATGCTGAGCGGGAGCTTGCACTTCATCCCAACCGGCAGGCAACTGCCCAGGACGCCTCCTCTGTCCGAAGTGAAGAGACGCTTGGTCTTTATCAATGAGGATCAAAAAAGTCACATTGTGGCATTCCATCAGGACACTGAGGTTCGTGCATCCAGTTAGACCATCTGTTGTCTGACTTAACTGTTTCGTTTGCAGTCCCAACTGGTGACCTCATGACCTTTGACTATGATCCAAAGGGGGACAGCGGCGAGCGCCCTGTTCCGGATGAGATTGAGTTCAACACTTCAGCCACAAAACCAGGTTTGGCTTTTTCAATGATACTTCTAAACAGTGTTACCAGAAACTTTGTTGAACTAACGCATGTATTTTGCATTAGAAAAATCTTGCAGCAAACCACTAAATAGAAATTTCACAAAAAGTACACTCCTAATGTGGGGTATTCTTAAATTTCAGGAGAAACTCACTCAAGTTATAAAACTAATGGGCCATAAACAAAATAAGGAAAGTTTTGCATTGCACTTATCAAATCATTTGTTTATTATTTTTCAAATTATCGAGATGACAACATGTTAGTGTAGTTGAGTTTAGGTTGACCCGGACAAATCAAATTATATGCTTTGTTATTACCACTTTTTCTTGAAAGTGTATCCCCAGAAAAAAAAAAAATCTAAAATCATTGCCCCACCCCCCATGTTGGTGCCTAAAATATCCTCCAATTTGGTATGACCCATATACTGACATTAACTCACAAATGTTAAGTACGGTACATTTACAGTGTAAAAAATCTGGGCCTGTTACGGTGAATATATATATATAGAAGAATTAAATATGCATTATTTGTAGTTTTTATATGATCTTTCCAACAAATTAAGTGAGGTAGAATAAATTCCTGCAAAAGTTGGCCACAGCTCTAGAACATTTTTCAAAAGGATCACGCCAACATGCATCGTGTTAAATATCATTTTCATGTCTTTATGTGAAGCAGTGAATTTGTTTTGATCAGTGAATAGTTTTATACCGACGCTGCATTGCTACAATCATGAGTTAACGATTAAAAATGTAACATTGCACATATTAACATGTATGCTTCTCAAAGGCAAAACGGTGAATTTTCGAAGGTCACATTTTTGCCCGTCCATTCATAATATTGGTAATTAAATGAATATTAAACAAAAGATTCTGTAAAATCAGTTAAATGTAGTTGTGACAAGTTGGCACACCAGAGGGTCAGATTCTAACATGTGTGCATTCTTGCAAGCTTTGTCTGCTTACCCTGACACCTTACTGAACGGCATGAAGGGGTATGAGATAACATCCGGTGACCTGGACTTCTTGAGGAAGATTCAAGTGGAGAAACACGTCAAGGAGCTACGGGTTGGCTTTCAGTGGAGTGATCCACGTGCATAAGTTGGGAAGCCAATTCATCTGCGTGTTCTTCAGGCAGAGCTGGAGGTGGTGCGAAACGTGCTGCAAAGGGAGCTGGTCTTGGAGCCGATGCTGACCTCCAGCGAGAACGTGCAAGCTGATCTGGACAAAGTGAGCTGACGTTGCTTGTTAACTTTACATCGAAGTTATTTGATTTGATTTTCCTACAACTTATTCAGGACCATCATAAACATTTTCATTGTTGTTTACTTCTTTAAATGCATCATGCTTTTAACCAACATCAGCTCATTAGAACACATATCCATTATTCTTAACATTATCGTTGATAATATCCATTTATTATCATTTTGCGCAATGTGCAGGTGGGAAAACGACCTAAAATGATTTTGTTGTTCATGTAGCCTCAGTACGGTACTTTTTTTTTTTTTTTCCCTCTTCCCCCTGACATTGCTAATAGTTTTCTCAGTCAGCAGAGGGCGCTTCCCCTTCTAAAACTAACGTTCTTCTCTATGGCCAGTAGAGTTCTCAAAATCGTAATTCATTTTCACCACTGGAGTGCAGCAAGTCATTAAACGCCCCTTTTGGAAACTAAAAATATTATTTGAATTTGCTCTTTTGTTCAAATATTAACCAATGATGTAATCGGATAGAGAAAACACACCAAAAAAAATCCAGTATCATGTCTACAATGACTCATTTAATCCAAATTGAATCATTCAATCCAGTCAATAACAAGGATTAAAAAAAAGATGGATTTCACAGGTTTGAATTGACCACCAATCGCCAAAAAAAAGAGCCAAAATCTGAACATTGATGTACCGTAGTCACTATCTTGATTTTATTTAAAGAGCTGAAGTGACAAATTACAAAATCAGACAAAAATGCCCCTAAGAGGAAGTGATCAAACTTAAATTGAATAGTGGAAGTTACAGCACATTTCAGCTTCTTCCTGTCATGACCTTGGAAGTTGACTACTCTTAACTTGTGAGTGGACTACGTTGGTGGGAGTGGCTGGATCAGACTTCATCCTGCACCCTGAGGTAGAGGGTGGAGTCATTTTGTGACTCAAAGCAGCATGAAACATAAAAGTGTGCAGTCCTTTGGTCGGATTCCACACCAACGTGTCCTTGCTCAGTTGTGTTGTATTTGCATAATCATACCAATGAAGAACCCATCAAACAGCTTTACCAAGGTAAAAAAAAAAAAAAAAATGTGTCTTCTTCACAGTTCTTTTTACAGTGACCAGTTTGTGTAAATGTCTTCTGCCTGTCAGTCTTCATCATACTCGGAGCTCGTGGAGCACCACAAGCAGGTGCTTGGAATCATGTTGTCATCAGTCAAAGTGTTGGAGCGAAAGGCCACGTCACTGCTGGCGGTAGTAACCAAGGAAGATGTGGATCGGGCACCGAGCAAGAAAAAGAAGAAGAAGAAGAAGCAGCAGCAGCAGCAGGCACTCAGTCATATGGAGAAGGACATTATTCGGTATGTTTAGGCCTCATCTCATGTTGCAATTTGTGCACGTGTGTCCCATGTCATTATTTACTAGAAAACGCATCCTTTAGTTGCATTCTAAACTTATGTACGTCTCAGGACAAAGGAGGAATCAAAGGAGACGGAACAGTTGGTGAAACAACTTGTTGGTTGCCAGGTGAGGAAGACAACCACAGCCGATCAAGCTGTTTTAATTAATCTCTTCTGCTGCCTTTTAGATGCTGATTCAGCAACTAACGAGAAACATGTCAGAACTCAACTCTAAACTAGCTCAACCAGAGGTAAGAGCACAGCTTGCCCCCCTTCAACCAATGAATTTAATTTTAGCGCCAACGTCTAAACTCACAATCCAACCCTTCAAATAGATTGAGAGAAGAGAGGCTGTTAACCTCGTAGCGCCAAAGACGGATCTGCCCGCTGGCAAGAACCCAGCAGGCAAGGACGCAAGTAAGAGTGCATACAAACCCCAACGATCCCCTTCAAAATCCACGGTGGAGAGGGCTCCCAAAGAAGCCGTGGGGCAGCAGAAACTGGCAGATAACTCGAAACTTGAACGAGGGAGACCCAAGGCCGTCAGTCGCGCAAAGGCCACAGCGTCGAGGGCCGTCAGTCGCGCAAAGGCCGCAGCGTTGCAGGCGGAAAGTGGCAAAGAGGCAGACAACGCGAAGCATCCTGAGCCAGCAAGAAGGCCACTAGAGCATCAGCAGGAGACGAACCAACTAAATATTGTTCTTAGACGCTCCAAGAGGATTGCAGAGAGGCAATTGCAGACAACCAAATGTGCCCCCTGAAGTTTTTTTTTTACTTCGGTTTTATTTGATTATTTTTATTTTTATTTTTTTTTTATGCATACATATAAATAAAAATATGCTTCAATTGAAGCGTGGTGTTTTAAAGAATCGCATCTCATCTTACACAGTAGTAGTTGTTTACCATTGCACTTAACAGCGGAACCTTTAATGATCACGCCGGTGGGTTGTTGAACGGAAACCAATTTTTCGCATAGGGGAGGAATGGAAATAGAATAAATCATACACTAAAAAAATGGTGTTGAATTTACTCGTACTTTATTTTGTCAGGCGTTTGCCTGAAATACAATCATCTGGATCCAGATGCATTTTTTAAAATCTCGATTATACATCTACTTGAATGTATCTGCATTCGAATGATTTTATTTTGTGCAGCCACATGACAAAATAAAATTGAGTAAATTCAAGAAAAACATTTTCAGTGTGTGTTGGATGCGACGTGTGTAGACTGTCGCTGAAGTGCACGAGTTCATCATTGCCAACCGCCTCTGAAATAACCACACTCACTTCTCGTTTCCTGCCTTACTATAAATATGGCTTCAGTTGCCAGGGCAGTCAATTAAAAACTAATGCAGTGCAATACTGTACATCTAAAGTCTCAAGAAGTTGTTTCCAGATAAGATTGCCCATTTGGCCGCGTTGCTCTGTGTACGGCAGGCCTTGCCCTTCAGTAGTCTGTCAGGCTGATGTGTAACCTTGAGCTTCTACTGCATTTCTTGTCTTTCTTTAAGCCTCACGCCCACAAATGCTGAAATGAGTGATTGTGCTCAGCAGCCAGGCCGCTTCGTGGTCTCTGTTGGCTTCATGTCCTGATAAGACCAACAATCTTTCCACTGTTTCCCTTCTCTGCCCTGTTGGCAATGATGAATTTATTGAAAAAAAGGTTTCCCAGTGCACAGCTTTCCTCCGTTTCGTTCTTATTGCTGCAATGTTCCTGCTTGCCAAAGCAGGAACCTCTTGCTGAGGCGTGAGAACCTTCACGTTAATTCTCATCGTGTTTCGCTGATTGCCTGGATCCAGGCCCAAGGAGTTTTGGCTTGTGAATTGTCGAGACATTGTTGATGTCTTGACAATTTTGGCTGGCTTCAAGTCCCACAGTAATTTTTTGACATCAGAACTATTCTATTAATTATGGTTAAGTTTTTCTGGTAAATATCCGCTTCCTGTTTTTCGCTACTGAAGACTAACTCAAGAAAATAAGTCCAAGTCAGTCGTGGAGCAAAATGGGACTCTTGCCATTGTGGGCAAAAAAATACTCAAGCAAGCAAACGCACAGGCTTTAACAAGGGTTTCAAACTCCAAAGCAGGACAAGCTTCCACTGTGCTGATAGGTCCTCGTCCAGCCTCTGTAAACTCCAGCAATCCTGCATCATGAGTTCATGGGTGCTGACTTTCTGCTCTGTCAACACCATCTGCGTGGAATCAGTGTGTGTGTGTGTGCGTGTGTGTGTGTGTGTGTGTGTGTGTGTGTGTGTGTGTGTGTGTGTGTGTGTGTGTGTGTGTGTGTGTGTGTGTGTGTGTGTGTGTGTCTCCACTTAGGCGCCAGTAAAAACGGGCTCTGCTGGCAAAGGAAGAGAGCGCACCCTTGGTTTATCAAAGCAGCGCAAACCGAGTCCAGGGAGCCTGTGACCTTCAATTTCCTGTCGGCCTTGTGTTATTCAGTCTCTATATTGCCAATCTTTTTAAGCGGAAGTCCTTGAATACTCCCTAATCGGAGTTACAGTATATAAATTGCTTTGTGGGTGCATGTTGATGTCAAAAACCTAATTGGAATTTCCCTCACATTCTTTGTCATTTAATCACGTATTATTTGCACGTTTCTTGTAGGTGTAATGATGCACTGTGACCTGAAAAGGATATACACTATGCTGAGAAGAAATTACCCTGAAGGAAATCGAAATGCTCAAGAAGGGTTTGTTGTTTCCTGCTATGACAGTGATTCTGTGGTACCACTATTGGTATATGGGGAAAAAAATGACTACAGGATATGTCAGAATGTATTACACATTATAGTGTCTTAAATCTTTTTTTTTTAATCCAGGACAGTACATTTAACTCTCATTCAGTTGTTTAATTTTTAAGTACCATATTGGCCCAAATATAAGACGGTGTTTTTTGCATTGAAATAAGACTGAAAAAGTGGGGGTCGTCTTATATTCGGGGTGTTGACATTATACCCATTCACGACGCTAGATGGCACCAGATATCATTGAAGCGAATGCTGAACTTGACTCCAAAGGCCAAAGTGAACCCCTGTCACGAAGAATAAGAATAAAAATAAAAATAGCGATAGCACGAAGAAGAAAAATAAAAAATAGCACTAAGGAAGAAAAGAGAAGAAAATAATAGAAGAGATAACAGAAAATGGAGAAACATAGCGACAATCTGGGGAAAAGTGGGTCGAAGATCGGCCAGGTAAACCGGCAGCTGAGGAGAAGTTATGATGTAATTTACATTTCAAAAACCAGAGGCCATTCATTTACAAAAGTGATTGCACTTTAGTTTACATATTTAAATGTTCAGATATTAAGATTTGAATGAGGCAAAATAACATGCTTTTTCTCGCAAATATATCGTTATAATCATTTGTTTCAGATGTACTGTAATTATTTTCTGTATAAAAATTAATTTGGTGTTCAAAAAGTCTCTTTTCAAACTTGAGTCTTGAAAAAGAGGGGGTCGTCTTATAATCAGGGCCGTCTTATATTCAGGCCAATACTGTATGTTTGTATGGCTTGCTTACGATATTAATGATACTTTCAAGCAATAAACCAAATTTTTGACAAACATTTGCGCCAACTTTCGTCGTGACCGAAATATTTTGTTGAGGTGCTACTTGGTGTAAAACATATGAGAACCACGGATATATATCGTATATTCATTTATTAATTTTCCGAACCGCTTTATCCTCACAAGGGTCGCGGGGGGTGCTGGAGCCTATCCCAGCTGTCTTCGGGCAGTAGGCGAGGGGCACCCTGAACTGGTTGCCAGCCAATCGCAGGGAATAGAGAGATGAACAACCATTCACGCTCACACTCACACCAAGGGACAATTTAGCGTGTTCAATCAGCCTGCCATGCATGTTTTTGGAATGTGGGAGGAAACCGGAGGACTCGGAGAAAACCCACACAAGCACGGGGAGAAATGCAAACTCCACACAGGAAGGCCGGAGCTGGAATTGAACCCGGTACCTCTGCACTGTGAAGTCGATGTGCTAACCACTCAACTACCGGGCCGCCTATATCATATACTGTATATTTATGTATAGAATATGTATTTGGATATATTTTCTATCCAATATTAAGTGCAATTAAATTTAGCAGAACAGGGAAAGAGAAAAGCAGTCAGGATTCAAACACAAATGTATCACCCTAAGGACCTTGTGAGTCTTACAGTGGACTCATGTAAATTGTGCGCTGAAGTTTAGACACTAAAATGTACAATTATTAATAATCTCACCACTGGCTGGTGGGCTATTTACCTTCCCACCAGCAGTTTATTAGCAGGCTCTGGCATACTCACAAGATAAAGCTTGATTTGCACAGCATGGTTCAAGTTTTTGCTCTCAAACGGCACATTGCAAATATGCTTCATGGAAGAGAGCTGTGGGTTTTTTTTTTGGGGTTTTTTTTTCTCTCTTACTTCCACTACACACATGAAATTGTATATATTCAAAGCAGAATCAGGTTTCTTCGGCTTGTAGATAAAAATCCAGCACGTATCGGTTATCTGACAAGGTGAGTGTCGCGTATGGAAATCACCTGACCGAACCGAACCGCACATATCTGATTAAACAATACAAACCAAAACCAGCAAAAGCAGACATAGTAGACTCGAGGTGTGTCAATCGTCTCAATGTTCATTCCTCCTGATCTCTCCTTTTATTTATTTATTTTTAATACCTCTAAAACCTGGCATTTGAACGTGTGTGTGTGTGTGTGTGTGTGTGTGTGTGTGTGTGTGTGTGTGTGTGTGTGTGTGTGTGTGAGTGGACTTTTAATAGACACTTTACATATGTGTTGAACCATTCAGCAACTCGCTCCAAGGTAAATGTCTAAAGCATCACGTTACCAAAAAACACTTTTAATTAGAAACTGCCATGTGAGGCATCCACACTTGTCGTCCGGTGGAATTAGCTCATTGTTTGCTTTGGAAAGCTTCTAACTAATGATCCCTAATGTGGCTATAATAATAATGATCATATTCTGTTAATTTGTCTTGAGATGCTGTCTTGCTTATTAAAAGAAAAAAGGGTCCGGGGGAGGAGTGGTGGGGGGTTTGATGAGCAGAACACAATAGTCCACTTTGATTTTTTACGCATTCGGGATGTTCCATCCAATGCAGAAATTGGAAAGATTTTCAGTAATTTAGTACAGTTAAGGTACTTTTCCACTGGCCAGTCCTGAACACTTTTCCTGTTTTGATTGGGTGTCTTTGAGGTAAATGTGAAGAGAACATTGGAGACAAAAGAGCAGCAGTGAGGCGATGTAATGACGGTGAAACACTATCTGATGATTTCTTCCACTGACCTTGTAGCTAAATTCCTCCACATGTTTTCTTTCAAAGTTAACCAGCTGAAATGTCTGTGATGTCATCATTTACCTTATTTTCCTGATGTAACGGCCAGAAAAATGAATCCTTTAATTTCTCCCATACAGGGACATTCATATTATACTCCAGGAACAAACGTCAACGCGAGGGTTAAGTACATTGCTCAAGCGTATGAGGACTGGGAAAATGAGCTCCAGTAATCAGTCCCAATTTTGCCCTTAGAAGGTCTCAAAGCTCGTCAAGTACTGTACAGTAAAAGACCCTCTAGTGGAGGCTGGGCACTGCAAAACCTTTTACAGCAAATAGTTCTTGTTGTTTTCTTTTTTTTCATTTCGAGGTTATCTGCTGTAGCGAACAGTGGAGACAAAAGAATATTGACCACTTTTCAAGGCTGTGGCCTTTTCTTATAAAATGTCATATTTGTGTTTGCC